AGAGGGAGTCTTCATTTACAGTGCCCTGGGTAAAACAAGGAAACAAAAGGAAAGGAAAGGGGAGCCGCTCAAGTCTCATCCACTTTTATATGCCTCAACCTTCCATCTCAGCATCTTCATCCTCATCAATTTCCTCAATCTTCATCTTCTTCACTGCCTGAGCAGCATCATTCTTAAATCCACTTGGGATCTGGATCAAGATATCTGACTTTTGTCCAGTAGCTTCATTAACCATTCCTCCGTTCTTCTCCACACGATATGTTAACGAGTTGCCTTTAGGCCCAGCATCTATATAGACCGTCGAGTTCTCATCAATCTCTTCCCTTAAAAGCATCCTTGAGAGCTCTGTCACCACCTTCCTCTCAAGCCATCTCCTGATTGGTCTAGCACCATAAACCTGCAAATAATGAACATCCACTTCAGTATGGACGCCTTTTAGGATCATATAGCAAATTAGTATTGATTTTGATGAAATAATACTAACCGGGTCATAGCTCTCTGCCAGGATAAAGTCCAATGCTGCGTCAGTCACTGCCATAGCAACTCCCCTCTCAGCAAGACGTACCGCCACATCCTTCATTTGTAACCTCGCAACCTTCCTCAGCTGCTCATGTGAAAGAGGATCAAATACTACAATTTCATCCAGCCGGTTCAACAGTTCTGGCCTAAAATGCCTTCTCACCTGTACAAGGAAAGGAGTTCAGTGACCATGGCCACAGAAAGAAAACAATGTCTTTTACCATACACGTACGCATGAATTCTACGTTGCGACTCTAAGAAAGAAAAAATCTGCGATAAAATACCTCTTGCATAACTCGATCCCGAGCTACTTGCATCGGACATTTGCCTGAGAGGCCGGACAGGAGATGCTCTGCTCCAAGGTTCGAAGTCATGATGATAACGGTATTCCTAAAGTCCACTGTGCGACCCTGGCCATCAGTTAACCTCCCATCGTCCAAGACCTGAAGTAGAGTATTAAACACAGATGTGTGCGCTTTTTCCACTTCATCAAAGAGGACCACACTGAAAGGCCTTCGCCTGACAGCTTCTGTGAGTTGCCCTCCCTCCTCATGGCCGACATACCCAGGCGGTGCACCGATCAACCGAGAGACCGAGTGTTGCTCCATGTACTCGGACATGTCAATTCTTACCAGCTGATTTTCATCATCAAAAAGTTGCTCAGCAAGAGCCTTCGCAAGCTCAGTCTTACCAACCCCAGTTGGCCCTAAGAACAGGAATGAACCAGTAGGTTGTTGAGGTCTTCCGAGCCCAGCCCTTGACCTCAACACTGCCTCTGCCACAGCACTTACTGCTTGATCTTGTCCCACCACTCTCTGGTGCAATCTATCAGCAAGTCCTATTAACCTTTCTTTCTCATTCTGGCCAAGCCTCGTCACTGGTATGCCAGTCCAGCGACTCACAACCTCAGCTATTTGATCTGGTCCAACAGCTTCTGTCAACATCAAATTTTCACCAGCGCTTCCTTCTAATTGTTGTATTGCGGATTCCACCTCCTGAATTGCCCCATATCGCAGGTCCGCAGCTCTGGCTAGATCATATCGCCTCTCAGCCTCTTGTAAGGCAAACAACAGCTCCTCTCGTTTCTGCTTGAGCCTGCGAAGCTCATCAATCCTTTCCTTCTCTTTTCTGTACTTCATCATCAAAGGTTGAAGTTTATCTCTTAAATCGTCAAGCTCTTTCCGCACCTAAACATGACAAGAACGTTTAGAACCGATGAAATAAATAAAATAAGAGCCTGTAATTCAAAACATTAAAATATTTCACAATGCAAAAGACAACATTACATACTTCTACGAGACGGGCTTTGCTAGCTTTGTCTTTTTCTTTCTCAAGTGCGTGGAGTTCCACTTCTAGCTGCATTCTCTTCCTTTCAAGGTTATCAATTTCCTCGGGCTGACTATCAAGTTGAACTCTCACATTAGCACATGCCTCGTCCACTAAGTCAATTGCTTTGTCAGGAAGATGACGCCCTGTAAAACCACGTATGCCATCATTTAAGTATACATCCATGCGTGAAATATATGCTATTAAAGGGACCAATTTCTAACGCTGGAAATTTAAATACAAGAACAAAAACCCCAGACACGATGCATACCTGTGATATATCGGCTAGACAACTGAGCTGCAACAACCAAAGCACGATCCTGAATCCGAACACCATGATGACCTTCGTAACGCTCTTTCAGCCCACGAAGGATGCTAATGGTGTCTGCGACACTGGGTTCGGCCACATAAACCTGTTGGAATCTTCTTTCAAATGCGGCATCCTTCTCCACATATTTCCTGTATTCCTCTAGCGTGGTAGCGCCAATGCATCGGAGCTGACCTCGAGCAAGCATAGGCTTGAAGAGATTGGCAGCATCCATTGAGCCCTCAGTACGACCTGCGCCAAGGACTAGATGGATCTCATCAATGAAGAGAATAACTTTCCCCTCGGCTTCCTCCACTTCCTTTAGAACTGCCTTCAATCGCTCTTCAAATTCTCCCCTGTATTTTGCACCCGCCACCAGAGCACCCATGTCCAATGCAATAAGCCTCACATCAGCGAGATTACTAGGTACATCCCCTCTAACTATCCTCTGTGCCAAACCTTCAACCACAGCTGTTTTCCCCACTCCTGGCTCTCCTATGAGAACCGGGTTGTTCTTCGTCCTTCTTGATAAAATCCTCACCACCCTTCGGATTTCCTCATCACGACCAATAACAGGGTCAAGTTTACCTGCTTGCTCAACGAGGTCCCGCCCATACGTCTTCAATGCTTGTAAATTTGTATCCCCAGAAGCACTTTCAACCTTTTTCCCTTCCTTACCACGAAGCTTATCTACCTCAGATTTCACTCTTGCTGTAGCAACCCCTGCTTCCTTCAGCAAGTCACCAATCTGGGAATCTTCAAGAAGACCCAGAATCAATTGGTCAACAGCCAAATGAGTGTCTCCACGGGACTTCTGTGCTGCTTGTGCCCTCCGAATTACTTTAATCAGGGTAGTACTAGCAGGTATCTCATCCGGAGGGGGAGACTGAGAAGGTAATTTCTTCAATGCTTGATTGAAGACTCTCTCCGCAGCGCGAGCAGCTTCTTCCCCGGCGGCACCAGAAATTGATTGGGGGAAAATGCCGGCGGGATCAGAAATCAAAGCAACTGCGAGATGAAGGGGCGTGAATTGTGCATGGCCAGCGCTCATTGCCAGCTCATGTGCCCCGGCAAGAGCCTCATTGGTCTTGTGAGTAAACTTATCAGGATTCATTTGTATATTAGAACCTAACAAAAGACACAAGAATTCAGAAACCTATTTGATGATGATAAAAATACAACTAAGGAAAAATGGCACAGATAGCATGACACACATTAAGGACACAAAGTATCATCACAACCCAACGACACCCGTTAATTAATCATCGAACGTCACAGTAGCTATCTCACTGACCACAAAAGCATTCAGAAAGCATAAGGTTATAAAGGATATTAACATACCAGTAAGGAGGAGATGAAAACTTTCAGAACAATTACGGAAGTACCAGCCGAAAAACGTAGAGTTGCAAGGAAACACTACAGAGATATTAAACGAGCAAGCTTTAACGCCTTGATCGGATGAACCAAGAAGAAACACAGAAAATATGTACACTGCCCTTCGGGAGATTTGGTTTAGAGAGTAGCTGAAGACGTTTCGGAACTTCTGTTAGCGGTGAGGAAAGGAGGAGGACGTTTATTTGTTGATGTGAGAGAGGCATCTGGAAGGCTCGCGGACGTTCGCGACTGAGCGAAGAACCTCCTAGAAAAGTCGTTCCCCAATTTAGGTGCGCCTGTTTAAATTCGAGCTGTTCGGTGATGGGCGAAGAATCGAATGGGCTGTACTGGACTTCCCCAGAATGTACGAACAGCCCATAATCCGCTTTCAGAGTCTAAAGCCCAAGTCTATTAATATTTAGGGGGTATTTAGATATCAAATCATAATTTTAAAATATTTTATGGTATACAAAGTAAATATGTAAAGAAATTTATTTCGATTTATAAAAAATACTTCTAAAAAATACTTTTTGGGTTATCCAAACACCCCCTTAGTGGTCGGCACCGACTTGAGGGCATCACCCAACTTTCAATATGAATTATAACCTATAAATTATAATATAATTTAAAATGTAACACAATTTTACTACCCTAGTTGTAACTTTATAAGTTTTTAATGGTGAATCTTAACTCGCATAGTACTTAAATATTGATTGATGATTGGTGATAAATTGTTTCATGGATTCTGGTGGCCATGGATTTTTTCCTTTCAAATCTTCTTACACACGTTGTTCACTTTTTTAAACTATTGTCTCTTAAACTATTAAAATATGAAATAATTAAAAAAATATTAACACTTCAATAAACAAAACTTAGAATTGAGCATACTTTTTAGTTAAAAACTTAAAAAAAAACTTATAAAGTGGTTGAATAGTGTGAATTTTGCAATTGTATTTACCTTTTTTCTTCCTTTCAAATGCACTAAAACATCGACCGAAACATCATGCAAGGATAAGTCTAGCTTATATAATCTTTCTCAAATAAAAGAAAACGAGGGTAATATATTTTCAGTCTCGTTTTGGATCCATAAAAAGTGAGTTTTTAAAATTATAATTTGAACATCGAAAAGTATAAGAAAAGTTACAATTTGATGCGTGAATTGTATGATGAAATGACATGTAAGCAAAGCTAATAGGAATTCAAATGTTTTGGGGACTCCGATAGAAGGAACAATATGAATTCAACCAAACACAAAAATCCAAAAAAAGGAAAGAAGCTGCAAAATAAAAAAATTGGAAGATTTAGCGATCACTTTTCAATTTAAAAGGAGAAGATTGTGAACAACCATAAAATAAATTGAAAAAGGTGCGTTTTTAATTTTTAAATTAAGCTTGAAAATGCAACGATGCTTATCCAATACTACCCATAATTTACATCGACTTTTTTCTTCATTTAACAACGGTTAAAAATTCATGCAAACAATGAAGAAAAATAAATTGACTGAAGATTGCAATTGATTCGAGTGCAAAAAATGAAAATTATCACAGGAAATGAAAATAAGAGTGATAATGAACATAATCAGTAATTACAAAGATGATAATTCATGGGCAGTTATAAGCTTTTGTGAGTGATCCAAAGATACTCTGCTACGTCTCAAGCTTCTATATTCATGCTAAAGGTGCTTGGAGGTGACGAGCAATTTCCATTTCTATTATATGTAAAGGTAAATAACTAAATTCAAATGCGCGAAGGGAACAGAAAGCGGAGAAAGATGAGCCATCTTGGCTTCTGCTGCATTGGATAATCTGCTAGCCGCCTTCTAACCACATTGCTCAACAATCCCAATCGCAATGAACCCGGGAAAGGCACAAGGCGGACGGCTTCCCTGGAACATAACATCCATTACCATTGGCACTCAACCAGTCTAATGTCAGATAAAACCAACATCGACAACCAATATGGTGGCAAGGTACAGTCAGATAGCATTTTAAACTAGGACAAAATTTAATCATCAACAATAAAATGCAAAACAAAAAACGGGGGAAAAAAAAAGGTGCATTCCTCATCATCTCCAAACAAAACATTTAGGCGTCATTGTGCTGGCCGCTACCGCGGCCTCCCCTCATAGGAATGACAAAGTGATTACACTCGGGTCTCATAATAAGGTTAAGGTACACTCACATGAAGGCAATGCGGCTTGAAGAAATTCATTCCTCATCACTATCATAAACAACTGCCATTCGCCTGTGGGCATGGTTTGTTGCTTTTCTTGGAGGAGATTCCTCATCTGACTCAAAACCCTTCCTTTTCTTGCTGCCTCGGATCTCCTTATTCTTCTGCTTTGGTTCCTGCCAAAACTCTCAAGATTAATCCAGAAAGCAGTCCAAAAATTTCTGAGAATTTGGACTTCCCAAGCAGCATTTCGAGATTTTTTTTTTTTTCCCCCTTTGGTTAATACGCCCAACACCTATTATTGGCATTTAACAGTTGCCACAGCCTACACACTTCATATCCCATCAGCAAAAATAAAAATAATTTTGCCGAAGCCAATAACTTATATGCCAACGTAGACAACAAATGAGAAGAAAATACTACCAAAGGGCAAAAGAAGTTGCATATAAACCATAATATTCGATCTAGAAGACCAAAGCTCTACAATACAAGTAATCAAATACAGAAGCCAGTCCGTACCTACTTATTCATTGATAAGTCCAGCAAATCTTAAAGCAAACTAAATTATTTGAGAATAATAATACCTCCTCTTCCTCTGATGCGTCATTAACTTGTGCTTCTTCATAACGTTCTTCTTCATCTTCTTCTTCCTCATCCTCATACTCTGGTTCAGTATCCTCGGCACTTTTTCGTGGCAGAGGTCGATCATCTTCCTCGCCATCAGTTTCATACTCAGATTCCTCTCTCTCATCATCTGAGAACTCTATCGGGCGCCGGGATGACTTAACAGGTGGGAAAGATGACCTTCGAGGGATATCCTTGTGTGCCTGTGACTATGATCACAGGAAAAGGGAAAAAGCCTTCATTAAGTGATAGAAGGAAGATGACCAGCAAAATTCCAACTATCAGCATACAGAGTGATGGTACCTTCTTAGCATTCATAATTCGCTTCTCTGCTTGCGCTTCGACATCAAAATCATCCTCAAAGCGGCGACGAGCACGATGAGAATTATAATAATCTGTTTCATCATCCTGACAAAAGAAAAGTGAATGATTAATCAAATTGGCATAGTATAAAATATTAGATGGGTAATGGGCATAGAAAACACTCTGGCAAATGCGCATGCAAATGAAGGCTACAATGACTGAGCAGGAAATAATATTTTGAGAGCAAACCTCATCCAAAGCATCCTCCAAAAACCCAGGAGAAAGTTGGCGCCTCCTTTCTACAGGGGGAGCATATTTCCGGCTCACCTTCTCTCTTTTACGGTTGAGAAGTACATTGGCTCTGATGTTTTGACTTTCTGCCTGCAAAATCCACAAGGAGATTAGTACAAGTAACAGCAAAAGCATGAAACTACTATCCAATAAATTATACCTTTTCTTTTTCCTCCTTCTCCCTCTCAGGATCAATGTCAGTAATGCAATTTTTAACCTTATAAACTTTTTTATGTCTTGAATCCACAAGGGCAGTCAGCAACCTATGAGAATTTGAAGACAAGGAAGACGGCATAAATCTCATTTTCCTTAATAGCCTTCCTTGTGATTGGAGGATCCCCTGCACACATTGTATAGCGTTGGGCACATGGTTCTCTAGACAATAACCAGCAAGAAAGTAATATATAGCATATCACAACTCACCTTCCCATGTCTAAGAAAAAGATGCGCTTGATCATGCTGTGCATCTTGCACAGATATGTCAAGAACTTCATTCCCTATTAATAACTGCAAGCTGCCATCAGACCACCTCACAAAACGAGCATTGCTTTCACACTACATCAGCATAAAACCAATGATAATTCATCTTGGTCATGAATGACATATTTTATCAAAGAGCAAGGGTGCTACAGTTCAAATGAAATAGTTATGGTATTAAAAGCAGAACAGATGAAAAATTAATAAAACATTAACCACATGCATCCATTATGCCCACATACATCAATGGAGCTTATTTATACATCCACTTTAAGAAAACTGCCACAAAGTTGATGGTGTGACCAGTACATAGAAAACACTCATTAAGTGAGTCATACATATTTAAGTCCTGATACACTGGACTGCAGGGTACTATGTGCAGACACAACCATGAGGCAATTTTATTCAGAATCAACCCTGTCAGAGCATGGCCACCCAGTTGAGCCTCACAGAAGCTTTAAACCACCTATTCCATTAAGACTTATCATTTAGCATCTTTTGATCCTTTACCATTTTAAATTACAGCTTCGCCAACTAAACTTGGATACAATATACCTTCTCAATCACACCTGGTCCCAATCAACGGGAAATTAAGCAAGGGAGAAAAACAGAAAATAAATCACTGACCAATGTGATGTTCAAATTTCGTCCTCCAAATTCCAATTATTCCTTAACATCTCAACTTGTCAAATTCAGAAAATTCATTATTCGTCCATTTCAGCAAAACCATTTGTTACCAAGCACGCAGAGGTTTGAGTCATATGTCAAAAGAACCTGTGAACTTTACATCCTCCAGAGAAATTCTACCTCAACAGCTAAGATCAATCTCAGTATCAAGCTTGTTATTTCAGATAACTCTTTACCACATAAAAAGGACAATTATAAAGCACAAAATAGGAGAACAAAGAAAGTATATAAAAGTGAAAAACAGCTTATATACAAGATCATCTGTCTTCTATCCATGGGCATGAAATGAAAACTGTATGGAAAACTAACTACAATGATATATTGCTACATACAGTCGTTGTGCCATCAGGATTTCTCACAGTCCTCCAGCGCACAATGTTGTTCTCCAACCGTATGCGTTTCTTGGCTCCAGATTCATCAGTAACAAATGTATCCTCTTCAACATATGTTTTAGGATCAAATGGTTTTGGGTCAACACCCATAATATTAGATACTTTGATCATATTCATCTGGAAAAAAAAAAGTGTCAAAACTCAACATATACTGTCACTGTAATGCAAATCATCTTATAAACGTCATTTCAACATGTAGATTAAGCACCTATATAGTGAAACAGCAATAATTTATTAAGCATGGCCTTGATATCAAAATGTAAGATTGCATTAGCATTTCATCAAACAGGTCAGTAAAGTGATAATCAAGCAAAGCCCTAAAAAAATACATTATGCGATGTCAAAATTCCTACATTCACCCAAGCTTCTTTATATATAATCTTCTAAATCATAAAGATGTAACATAAGCAATATCAGACGTCTAGTTACATGTCTTGTCCATCCCCCTTGTGCCCTTGAGATATAAAAGAATCATCAATAGACATAATGGCATACCTTTTCTGGAAAAGCTGGAGGGGGTCGAAGTGGAACCTCTAGCTCCAATGGGGGCCCAAGTGGTTTCTCTTTAAGTTTCATCTCAATGTTATCCTCCTCTGACTCATAATGAGCTTCTTCGTCAGCAATTATGTCCTCTGGTCTTAAGCTCTTTCCATAACTGCCTTCCTCCTCCTCCAAAGGAGATCTCTAAACCAGGAAAATGATTAGTCTTATTATCTTATACTTCAATTCTAGGTACTTGATGAAAAAATAGACAAATCTTAATATTGAACTCTATCACTCACATTTGAATCATGCTCAATGTCATGCCGAACTGCATATTCTGCCTCCTCCTCATCATCATCAAAATCACCAAACACATCACGAATTTCAGGGGCAGAATGCAACATGCGAGCCCGATCCTTGTCATCTCTGGGTGATCCACTGCCAAAGGATATTTTCTTATTCACTACATATGACAATAACTCATGCCCAAAGCCAGGAAATATTGAGTCATCAACCATGGTCTCAGTTCTATTCCAGCATCTATTTTAAGGCATGATTTAACACGCAGAACCATTCCAAACAGATTTAGAACAAACATAAATAGCCAGAGAAACTCAGACATTAGGTCAATTAAAACATGCACTGAACAATCTACAAAAAAAAAAAAAAGTTACTCATCTGGTCCTTAATATAAAACCTAATTACTGAATTAATTTTGATCGTAAATACAAGGTCTATTTCTCATATTTACCAATTTTCCATATATTACTCCTGTCGATACTCCCTCAATCATAATCAAGTAGGAGGGGAAGGGAGGATATTAAGAAAGATGGTTATGATGTTTTAGGAAAAAAATTTCATATTTCTTATAATTTAACTAACTTACCTAACTTTTTTAATCTAATCAAATTAGTTAAATAAGTCTTATAGTAAGAACCGAAGGAGTACTATATTATGGGCCTATTTGGAATGGCTTTTAAATAGTTTTTCAATTGTGATTTACAGAATATAAGATAAGTATCTGAGAGGAGCTTTGTCTCAACTTATGTGAAACATGTCTATAAGTGCTTATAATCATGATGCGAAACGGGCTATATAATATATATGTATAGAACCTGTTAAAGATACCTTGGACTTCTAGCTTCGTCGACTTCCTCGTCGTCATTTTCAGGATAATGGTGCTCTTCTGACCTCTCAGATCCACTCTCAATCACATCCCTACGCTTGCTAGTCACAACTCTCTGATTGTAGTCATCTTTTGCATCGCTATCAGAATCTCTTGCTTCACTTTCTTCTCTCTGATCAACAATATCTACCTCTTGGGAACTTTGCTCCCTCTCACCTTCACTTTCGCCGGGATCTGGATCCCCATCAGGCACATCACCCTCACTTTCTATTTCCACCTCCCCATGACCCTCACCTTCAACTTCCCCTTCCCCTTCAACCTCAGGCTCTATCCCTCCCTCCCCTTCATCCTGAAGAAAAACAGAATGATTTTCAATTCAGCTTTAGTAACCTTGCGTAAAGATTTTATGCTACACATAAGAGATGAGACAGAAAGCAGTCCACTTAAAATGTATATACTCATAAGGTAAGAACATCTTTCCATTCCCACAGTTCCAAGAACAAGTAAACAGATTCCCATAAATATTAAAGTCTGTCCCGTTTTCTACGATAATGCGCAGTGCTGCAGTGAATGTCGTGTTTCAGTTTACAAATAATACGGGTCTGGATACAGAATGAATTTGCAGCACGCCAGACCGATGCTCATATTTGGGGAAGAAACAGGAAACCTAGCTTCAGACAATGAAATTGCACGCTCTAACAGTAAACGAAAGAGAGAATTTGGGGGTAAGAAACAAGAAATCGTATCTTACAGAAGCGTAAGTGGGTTGGGGATTCGATTCATGTTCGGAATCAAGCTCTTCTTCCTCTTCTGATTGATCGCCGAAGAGGTTCTGCATCATCTGGTGTCGCTTTCTTCTCCCATCTCTGTTTGGTGCCAGCCTCTCGTCCTTCCTCCTCTCTCAGGTCTGATCAATAGCAGTATAAAACAAGACTCGGTGATTTTCTTCCGCGGAGACGATTAAACGGCCACTCGTCGTTTTGATCCCTGGAGAGTGTTTTACCCCGACGGTTTGCGAAAGTGATTGGGGGTTGCGTGGTTTTTTTTTTTTTTGGGAACCGATAAAGCCAACTTCTAGCCGAGCACTCTGGGATAATCGTCCCACTCAAGGTTTTGATTCTTGAAAGTTGAAACCTGAGGTAAATTTGTGCCTGACTTTTTTTTTTTTTTTAATCAAGGAATTTTGGCCTGATTAAATTTACAGGGGAATAATCCCAATTTATAATCGAGGCTTTCATCTTTAAGCTTCTTTAGTTTAAACATTACTGTCTCTCTTATTTGTAATATAGAAATTAATTAACTAATTTGAGTAAAATTTATTAAGTTAATTATTTATAATAAATAAGTACTCCTCCGGTCCTAATTATAAGACCCAATTGACTTATTTGAGGAGATTAAGGAAGTAAGTTAAGTTGGTTATTTATAATAAATAAGTGTTGTCATTCCTAAAATATCCTTGCTAATTAAGTATATTGGCTAAAACTATCATTATTAGAAGGATTATCTTGAAAAAAAAATGCATAAATATAAGAGACAAAATGGATTGGGTCTTACAATTAGGACCAAATAAAAAGTCAAATTGGGTCTTATAATAAGGACCGGAGGAGTATTATTTTTCTTAAAATACTCTTACTAATCATGTGTATTAGCTAGAATTACCGTTTGATGCAACTTTTAACTTGTGCGATTACTATAAGTACTATTTTGAAAAAATAGATAAATATGAGAGACAAAATGGAATGAGATTTTATTTAGGACCAAAATGAAAATTAAACTAACTCTTATATTAAGAATCATATGTAGTATTATTGGTAATATCAAATACTACCTCTGGTCCTTAATATAAGACCTCTTTTGATTTTTATTTTGGTTCTAAATATAAGATCATAATTTATTTTGTCTTTCATATTTGTCCCTTTTTTTTTCCAAGATAATTCTTATAATAATGATAGTTTAGGCCAATACATTTGATTAGTAAGAATATTTTAAGAAAAACAATATATATTTATTACAAATAAATAGCTTAACTAGTTTCATTAATCGATTCAAATTAGTCAACTAATTCTTATATTAAGGACTATGAGTAGTATCAAGTTATCAATATATCAGTTTTTTTGACTGAAAATAATAATATCTATTTGGGTCAACAAAAATTATCAACATAAAATATAATTTAAATAGTGTCATTAGTAAAATAAAATACGAGATTATCGATATATCAGTTTTTTGACCAAAAATAATATGTCTATTGGGGTCAACAAAAATTATCAACATAAAATATCGTTGTCAATATAAATAGAGTTTATATTTTTTTGTCAACTATAAATAGAGATAATACCAAGCAGCATATTTATAAGCAGAATTTATAAATTCGTGTCCTTTTTATACAAAACATTTTACGATATACTGACAATGGATCTAATCTTTTAGATTTAGGTTTTAACTTTTAAACGGCTGTCTTTAATTTATATTTTTAAAATAAAGAATATTTAAATCTGGAAGTGCCATGAATATAAAGTAATATAGGAATTTAGCATTATCCCCGGGAAAAAAAAAGGAATTTAGCTTTACTATCAATATAAAATATAAATTCTTTGATTATACGTACTATAAATTACCGGATGATACAATGAGAGGACAAGGTGTGATCGGCTCTTACATTTCTACGTACTCATATAAACCATGCTACCTCCTATTTTTAATATAAAATGTTTGAATTTTATTTTGGTTTAAAAGTAAAAATCCAATTTATTTTATCTCTCATACTTATACATTTTTTCAAGATAATATTTCTAATAATAGTAGTTCTAGCTAATATATTTGATTAATAAAGATATTTTATAAAAGGCAACACCTATTTATTATAAACAACTAACTTAACTTATTTTTTAATCTTCTTAAAGTAGTCAATTAGCTCTTATAATTAGGACCGATGGGGGTATGTATATGAAGAAGGCTGAGATGGCATGAGTCATGCAATAGCGTTGACCAAATTTAGGAAAATTCTGATGGAAAAAAAACAGCAAAGAGTACTGTTTAATACTCATCCGGTCCTTAATATAAGACTTATTTAATTAATTTGATTAGATTAAGGAAGTTAGGTAAGTTAGTTAACTATAAGAAATGTGACATTTTTTTCCTAAAATACCATAATCATCTTTCTTAATACCCTTTCTTTCTCTGCTACTTGATTATGATTGGGAGAATATAGGGGTAATTTAAAAAAAATTGATAAATATGATAAATAGGTCTTATATTTAGGATCAAAACTAACTCAACAATCGGGTTCTATATAGTAAGTTAAATTTCAAGAACATAAAAGGTTGATTCGCCCTAACGTGTCGCCAACTGCGGTCAGCGCGGAACTCCCTAGTCTTCGGTGTCAAGGATGAAGGGGCGGAGGAAATTGTTGCCAAGGTGAAGACCATAGCTAGGCGGTCATCCACGCGTGCTGATGGGCTTCGAGCTATGTCGGTGAAGGCGGTGGTTTGGCCCTTGACGACAGGATGCAATGCTATCATCATACCGTTCGAGAGATCCACTCGATGCTGAGACGCCAAATGGTTGTTCGGTGCAGCCGTGATGCCAACTGCATGGTAGACGCTCCCGCCAAGGAAGCGTTAGGCATGGCGGAGGGTTCCACCTGCTTCTCTAACCCGCCTGCGTGCATCTCCGAGCTTGTGATGAAGGACGCTCCGGGTCTGCGTTTGTCTTGCTCCGGGCTTTCTTTGTCCATTAAAAAAAAAAGTTGATTCACATTTTTTAACTATAAATATTCTGGTGAACTTTAGGATATTAAAAAAGAATATAAAAAAAGAGTAGAAAAAGGATGGAGTATAAGAGAAACGAAAAGAAACATGCAGTAATCTTATCTTTAAACCATGAGTAACGATGTTAGAGTTAAGGTCGGCAAAAACGGAGAACTCACAACTGAAGTTTAGCTCAAGAGAGATACTGAGAAACAAAGAAAAATAGGAGGGATGCTACAGCAAAAATTAAAAAAAAATGGTAGATTGGTAAGCCGGAAAGGAAGGATAGAAAGGATGATTAAAAAATGGGGCGGAGTGAATTTCAAAATTTGAAATTTGAATCTCTCATTATTGGCCTTAATCACAAGCGTTCATTGGAGCTGGGCCCTATTTTTGTGAAAGCGGCTGAAAAATTGGCAGCCATAGCTCATGCTACTCTCCTGTCTAACTACTTAGGATTTATTGGAACGAGCAAACACTTGGGCCAAAGAGATAAGAAACATGTACAGAGCCCAACATGTACTGCCCATATGGGCTGTTACTGCCCATGTAAACAGTACTTGTGAGGGGAGCTGAACAGAAAATGTGATCAGCTCGGCTCCCCTCGTGCTGTAGATATCAAAGTGTGTTTAAATATCTCAAAAATATTCACAGAGGAATATTTAGTACCTGAAATTTTTTTTGACTCTTATCTATTCTGAAAGTTTTATTTTTTAACAAAAGTATTCTGATCATTATCTCCCGTTAAATTTGTCTAGTATTTGTAACAGTCAAATTTAACAGTGTATAACGATTCAAGGTAAAAATTTGTCTGGCATTTGTCTGGTATTATATTTTTTACACGCACTTCGTACTCTCATTTTTAGCGGTGTAATTTTATCATGATCTTTTGTTTTTCACAATTCTATCCATAAAAAGTGGGGTGGGGGCCATTACCGGGGGGAAAAAGAGAATCGTTCCCCTGGATGATGTCACTCTTCTTCAAGGCATGTAATTGTGGCGAGAGCAGCAACCTCATGTCTGATTTTTTTTTTTTTTAATGCACAATAGGACTGTAACTTTTTTAAGCCGCGTTATTCATAAACCATGCATAGTACTGTATAATTTATTTTTCAGATTTTGCGTATCGGGGATATTTTAATTTGCATATTTTGCGTACGCATTCACAACATCAACCTTTTTTTTTTTTTACCAGCACATTCACAACATCAACCTAAATATACTGATAAAATTAAAAGGAATAGGATCGCACATGTATCACATCTCTTGGGACGAGCTAGATTGCGACATTTTATCAAGACACCTAACCTGACTGAGAAATTCAGGCTCATTAAAAAGGGTGTGCTATATATATATTTTTAATCAGCTAATTCCTTATTATATCCATATTTGATGATAAAAAGCCAATGCAAAATTAATTTAACACCACTAAGGCCTAGTTTGGATTAGCTTTTATGGGCTTGTTTAAATTCATGATCAATCGAAAACGGAAGGCTCAAACATCAAATCTTCAATCTATCATAGTGCAAAGCGGCCAAATGGCGTCGACCACCTGAGGAGTAGGTGAGGCTAGACGTCGATGGCTCAAGAAATGGACAGGGTCTTGCCACATATGGGGGAGTGATTGGTGACGGGAATAGACAATGGATAGTAGGTTTTCAACAAGAGATTGGTTTTAGATCCATAGTCGCAGCTAAACTACAAGCCATTAAAGAAGGACTGCAACTTTGCAAGAAAAAGGGTTTGAGGAAGGTTCAACTATTCTCCGACTCCTTGAGACGCTACAACTCCTGTATTGAGAGAATGGACAACATCACCCCCTGGCAACTAAGATCTCGGGTGTAAGGTTGTTAATCTTTGCCCGTTGGGATATCGAGATATCGCATGCTCACAGAGAGGCACTGACCTGTGCAAACTTACCTGCGAAGAAGGCTCACGAGATGAATATTGTGAGGACCGTGTTGCTGGACCCACCTACATTCTGCGTGGATCAAATGAAAAAAGACTTAGCCTGCGGTTTCTAGAATGTCTTGTTAACCCTGTCTTAGGCTTCGTTTTACATAGTAGTATCTCCGTTGAAGTTAATGCTTGTTTGTTGTACCAAAAAAAAAAATCATGATATGCTGAGACAAAACTTATCTAACATGCTTATCTCATATTATATAAATCACGATTAAAAAATTGCTAATAAGTCATTCCAAATGAGCTCTAAATAGACTTATGTGTATCCTGCTAAAATCAACTACATAACAATGTTTTGCTTAAATAAATTTGTGTATCATTTTAAAAGACATAACCACAGATAGAGTTAGTAATATGGGTTTAACCCGTAAGTCTAACCCACTTACCAGCACAAAAATGACGGGTTAAGATTGGCTAAAAGCCAATCCATCAGTAGACAATATATTTTAACCTGCACCGCAAAACCCACAATCAACTGGGGGTAGCTCACTTTTTTTTTTTAATTTTTTCAATTTCATTAATTATTATTAGTATGTTATTATATTGTAAATCTTATCTAAGAAGTTAAAAAAATACTTATATAATTTATTTTGTGTTTTCAATTAAGTATTTGAAGGAAAAACAAAAATTTCATTATATTTTGTTTATATTGTATAAAAAAAATATTTAAAAATAATAAAAAAATAAAAAATAATACTGGTAGGTTAGTGGGCCAACCTGTCAACTCATCATGACAAGTTATGACTTGCTAAAAACCAATCCACTGTTATATGGGGCATTTTTAACAACCGCCTAACCTTTACTCATCACGGTTGACTCTAACCACAAATCTTCCACAAGTTTTAGTCAAGTTTTTTTTTTGAATATTTTTATTGATGTAAATATGGATTTTTATTTGCAACTTGAAATCAGTGACATCTCATCACTTTTTAAAAGTGAACTAAAACATAAGTTTTTTTAAACGTACTTGAAAAATAGGAAAAAGATACATTCATGTAGTTTTTAAAAAGATGGAATTATATACGTATAATGATCACTCCAAAAGAAAGTTACATGCTATTTTTTTATGATATTTTGGGCAAGGCCAGATGTGGAAAGGTCAGTCACCTTTACGATTGTTCCGCGCTGACATCATAATTTTTGTATTCTTATACTACCTCCGATCCTAATTATAAGAGCCAGTTGACTAATTTGAGGAGATTAAGGAAGTAAGTTGAGTTAGTTATTTGTCCTAAATAGATGTTGTTTTTCCTAAAATATCCTTACTAATCAAGTGTATTGATTAAAACTATCATTGTTAGAAGGGTTACTTTGGAAAAAAATGTATAAATATGAGAGACAAAGTGGATTGAAGTCTTATATTTAGGACCAAAATAAAAATCAAACGGGGTCTTATATTAAGGATCGGAGGTAGTATTATATTGGTGATGAATGAATCAGGAACTCATACATATATGTAGCCCGCAATTGGATTGGCCGCGGAGATTCCTATTCTGCGGAACCCGAATATACAAATGCATCAACGTGAATAAACAAAAACAACGACGGTCATTTGTCACGAGATTACGAAGATTTCCTTTCAACTGGTCTGATCCGCACACTCAAAAGCGAATGGCTTCGCGAATTTCGTTATGAAAGATTATTATAAATATTATGTGTAGGTGTTTTAAAGAAAGAGTCTCACGTTATTTGAAATTATTAAAGCCTAAATAATAAATGTTATAGTGTCCGTGTATAGAGGAGTTAGAAGACTTGCAGAATTTCGGAGAATTAGAGTGTTACTGCCAACAAAGTTTATTTATATGTGAAAGATTGTGAGTTTAATCTTGTTTGTAATTTCAGGTGATTGGCATCCAATCTTTCAAATACATATAGACAAACAATAACGAAAGGCAAATTTGACAATTTCTCTTTTGCTCACCTTGTCTTCCAGGAATAATTTGTTTTATCTTGGGGAGTAGTGCTTCTTGTTTTACTAGCAGTTACGGAATAATTTTTAAGGACAATATCTGTATAACACAACTCGGATTTATGCTTTATTTGCAGGTACTTATATATTTAGAAGACTCGCAGAATTTTGAAGAATTAAAGTGTCACTGCTGACAAAGTTTACTTATATGTAAAAGATTGAGTTAAATCTTGTAATTTCAGGTTATTGGTATTCATACCTTTAAATGCACGGACAAAAAATATTATTGTTATAGCAATCTCATGGGCTTCCCGTAATATCTTATTGGAATTGGATTTTCTCCACTACCCTTCTCATCCCCTTTCCCTCTACCACCCTCCTTTTCTCTTTACAACCATTGGATCAAAATTCCAATGGTCCAGATTTAATATTTTATAACATTTTATAAAAATAAATATTATGATAAAAAATAGATAAATAAATTTAAACTATTAAAATCTAATCTGAACAGTTCACAACTACAGACTGTTATTATAGAGCAATTTTTTAAAATTTTTTTTATTACAATTGTAAATTGTTCAGACCAGTTTTTAACAGTTTAAATTTATTTATTTATTTATTTAATAACATTATTTTTATAAGATGTTAAATCTGGACCATTGGAATTTTGATCCAATAGTTGTGAAGAGAAAAAAAGGGTAATTGAGGGGAAAATGATGGAAAGGTAGTGGAGAGAATCTAAATCCTATCTTATCCATTAGATTCTGATCCATGGCGCACAAGAACATCCCATATAGCAGGATAAGGGATGTTTAGAATTCTTCTTTGTTGACTTTTTCTCAAACAGCCAGCAAATCAATCATATGAAAGAATGTAGAGGTGGTAATGTGGGCTGACGGTG